CACCCAGAGGCACCTGCCGCCTCCCGGTGCGGCTCTGCCCGTCCCCCTCCCCAGGAGGAGCAGCAGCGCGGTCTGTTCGCGCAGCCCGGCCCTGAGCGAGGCCTGAGCGAGGCCTCTCCTGGTCCGGCTTTATGAAGAGCATCGTCCCGGCCCGGTTCCTGCTGCTGTCCTGCGAGCATCCTCCTCTGTGCTGAGGTATTTGGTGGCCGCCTTCCAGGCTCTGAGGACAGGACGCTGCCTGTGTGAAAATGCTGCGATACTGGGGCGAGATCCCGGTGTCGCCTAACCAGGCCAACCGCAGCTCCTTCGACCTGCTGCAGCGTGAGTTCCGCACTGTGGAAGTCCAGGATCCTCCGTTGCATCAGCCGTCTGCCAACAAACCCCGGCCCACCACCATGCTGGACATCCCCTCGGAGCCCTGCAGCCTCACCATCCACACCATCCAGCTCATCCAGCACAACCGCCGCCTGCGCAGCCTCATCGCCATGGCTCAGGCCCAAAACCAGCAGCAAGCCGAGGGCATAAAAACTGAAGAAAACGAACCTCTGCCGCCTCGTCCCGCCTCCCCACCTCTCCCTGATGACCTGCTTCCTCTGGATAGCAAGACCCCCAAAATGCCGTTCCAGCTGCGGCACAGTGACCCCGAGAGTGACTTCTACAGGTGTGTTGGCGTTTCTTTGGGTTAGTTCTTGGCTGCAGGAAAGCCAAGTGGTTTTAAATATCTGTGGAGTTGTGTCGATTCCTTTAGGCTGAAGGGTCAAACAGTTGTATGTAAAGAATAAACCAGGCTTTCCTTTTCAGGAAGAAAATTTAGATTTTTCCTGTATGGGTGACATGCACGTTGTTTAAGATAAACGTGCCTGTTTCCTGTCTGTAAAATGTAGGTGTGTAGTGCTGAGTTCTTAGTGCTGCACTAAATGTTTGTGAATGGTTTTGCTATCTCCAACGGTATTTTGACAAATACAGGATGTGGACTCTCCTGTATTTAGGTGACTTACACACAGCTAAGCTTGCCTTACTGTAACTGAAAATCCACAAGAGGCACAACCAGGTTTAGATGGCTTAGTTGTAGGTTCTGGAACGATGCTCTGGTGACGTGTTTGTAAGACTGGAGTGGCCAAGGCCCTGGGACACAGACGATCCCATTTCACCCTGTTTGTTGGAATTAGTCTGGTCAGAGGTGGCAGTGAGTAGAGGTGAAGGGAATTCTTGTCTCTGCTACTGGCTCCACCAGCCAAGGCTGGAGCAAATGTGAAGGAAGGTTGCACTGCTTCTACTCTGCAGCCAGTCTTGGGTTAAATAGCATTGCCACCTCCCTCCTGCTCACAAGGTGTTGCTTTTCCTGCAGAAGCTCATGTAGGTTACGTGCATTTAAATTCAGGGGTTAATCCTCACTACTATAACTTTCTGTTCTTAGGTTAAACACTGCACACCAATAAATATGATGTGGGAGAGGATAATACATCTTAGTTTTTAGAATGGGGGAAATGTGCATCAATGAAATATAATTTCTCAGCTAAATGCCACTGGGATTTTTAATGGCCTGAGGTTGTACAAGATGCATTTTATTGGAAGGTGTTGCTTTTGGTAACATCGTCTCTCTGAACAGTAGAGTGATTCTTCAGTGCTGTGTGTGGGGGAACACTGTCATCCTGCTTGGAGAAAGGAAAGTGATTAGCCAAGAAGGGTGAAGGGAGATCCAGTCACCATCGGAGCCCTGGGACTGCTGCCCCTGGCGCTGTGCTTTGTAGGGCTGGGCAGTGGTGTGCTGTCTGCAGGGTTCTCCTCTGTCCTCCCCGCCAGCTTCAGCTTTCACCTCAATTGTCCGTGGCTCTCCCCAGGTTTTGGGGGCTGCTTTGTGTTTCTGTTGCCCCTTCCGAGTTTCAGAGAAATGTGATTTAGCAGTGGACCACGTGGGGGAGTTGAAGGACCAGGTTGTAAAAGCTGGAGAGGGACTTTTGAAATGAATGTTTGGTGGCTAACAAGGAGTGGATTTATAATGAGCTGCAGCGTAGGCTAGAATTTAATTTTGTGCTTACTAAACCAAACACATTTATGCTTTTCCGGGAGGAAAGATGTTGTTGCATGTTTGTTCCTAACTGCTTTAAGACACTCACATGAATTAAGAATAGCAGCTGCTGTTAAAGTAGTAAAAGTTACACGTTTTGCCGGAGCTTGTTCTTGGTGTGTAAAAACAATTTAAGGAAGACCATTCTTCCCACTGATAAAACATGATCGTGCTTAATTTTATGCTGCCTTCTGGAGTGCATCTGTCAGAGTTACAGTATTCAGCTAAATTCCTATTTCAGTTCTGCTTTTTTTTTTTTTTTTTTTTGACAGTAGCCTGGGTCTGAGAAGCACTACATAGGTGTATTTAGACACAGGAAGGAAGGAAGAGTGGCCGGACTGAATCAAGCCACAAGTTTATTTAATATAGTTATTTCCTCTTCCGTTTCCTTGCTATTAATTTTAATCCTTTGGCCTCACACCCTTGTCTTTTATTTTGTTATCCCCTGGATTCATTTTGTTTTTTCTCCCCTCCACCCTGCCCCATACCTGTAACCCCTCCCTTCTCATCCCTTTTGAGGTGAGGAAGGGCAGAACCCAATTTACTGCCCTTTTTCAGTTGTTTTGGTCTTTTTAAGCCCCCAAATCTGTACCATCAACATTTTAATCACAACTGTATTCATCTCCTCCATTTTTCCAGCCTGTTTATAAATATGTTGAAACAAACCCTGGTTCTGTCATGGATATCCAAGGCTCCACAGCGGAGATCTCTTGCATACTTCCTTGTTGATGGATTTGGAGGACTCTAGTAGGCTTGAGAAGGAGGTTTTCCATTTACAAAAGCTATCTGGACTGCTCCTGAATGTAACATGTTTACCCAATTCTCCTCTAATTCTGTTCTTATCATTTCTTTTAATTTCTCTGGTGCACCAGACCATATCAGGCTTCCCCGCATGCAGTTCTTCCCAGCTCATCTGAAGCTATTCAAATAAAATGTTTTCACATGTTCTGTCTTCTGGTCCTCGTGGGCCAAGGCAGCTGAAAGCAAGAGGGGACTCAACACAGCTATTCAGCCGTTTCATCCTTTAGTTCCTGTAGCACTCCTGGGTGAATTGCCATCTGCTCCTGGCGATTTGCAGCTGTTTATGGTACAGTTCTTGGAATGCACAATGAGGGCTTTGGTTGGTGTAGAAACAGAAGGTAAGCGTAAAGCATAATTGGTGAAGAATAAGTAAGGAACAGTGGACTTGAAACCAACATTGGAACGGGAAGCTCTTACCATAGTGTGGCTGCTTGCTTTTCCTTCTTCTCTGTTCAGCTTCCTCTGAATAGCGTGGGTCCATCTGGAAAACAAACCTAACCCACTCCTTCTGTGCCTCTGGGGGTGCCTCTTCCCCTGTGTGCGTGGGTGCTTTCCTGGCCGGTTCCTCTGCCGTCCCCTTGGTTGTGTTCCTGACCACGTCGGTGTGTGCTTTGCCTTGAGAGATCATCTGAACAGAACTGGGAGCTTGCAGTGGGAAGACGGTTCATGGCAGAAGGGCTGGTAGCTAGGAAATGTGGGTACAGACGTAGGGGAGCGTGTGTCGGTGGGATAGCAGGTTTGATGTTGTGGAGGATTTGGCGCAGCGGTTGTTAGAGCAGGCGGAACATGCTTCCCTGCTGGAGGGAGCAGCTTGGCTTAGCCCCTAAGCTGGCTGGTCTTCTGGGCTGTGCCGCTGGGACCCAGTTTATTTTTGCCATTACCTGTTGAGCAGTTTCTTTTCATACCTGTGTAGCCTTCTGTAGGTACAGCAGAGAAATCTAAACTGAGGTTTGCTCAGGGTGAGGTAGAAAGAGGTCCTTTCCCAATAGGATCTGGGTTCTGGTTTGAGTTGGCGTGCCGTGTTCTTCATGCACTCGCTGGTTGGCGCAATCTTGTTTTTCCAGTGTTCTCCTTTATTTTACTGTGTTGGGGAAAATGGTTCTGAAGCGACCTTGTTGCACCTCATTTGGTAGAAATTCATCTCCACAATGTAATGTTTCGTGAAATTGATGTGTTCGTAGGAAAAACAGTCCCTCCCTCCATCTGCTGCTAGCTGGTGCTCACCTAGGAGGGAGCAGAGCGCTTCAGCCCGTTCCTGCTGCCGAGTGAAGCTTGGCTGTCAGTCCTTGTACCGACACAGCCCAAACGCTTTCCCCTGAAGATAGCGGCGGGGGGAAGGAGCCACAAGATCTCCTTCCCTCTAAGAAAAACAGCCCTAAAGGAGAGGAGCTGGGGTGCATGGCTTGTGGTGCTGTTGGGGGATGGCTTGCTGTCATGTTCAGAAACCTTATTAATTCTGAAAATAAGCCTAGCTGGTATAAATGGGCATATTTTCATGTGTTGTGAGGTTCTGCATGATGCAGGCTTGCTGGTCGCAGTGGGAGAAGGCTGGACTTTGGGTCTGATGGATTCATGGCTGGGCAGGTAGATTTCTGTCTGGAACATCATAGTGTTGGTGATCCATATATAAAAATGTAGAACCCCAGTGGAAATACCAAATTGAAGAGCAACAAGCTGGCCAGAATTTGTGATAAATTCCACACTGTGTATTCTGTAGAGATGGTCACCTCCAAGCCACAGGCCTACGTGCCAGTCTTGTTAATCTCTGGTGATGGAACTTCAAGGATTCAAGTTGACTTGCAGCTGTGTGACCCTGGTGGTACATTAAGCAGGTTTGGCTTTGGAGGGTTGCGGGGTGGGGAGCCTTTCCAGAAAGCAGTCAGTGCTGCAGAGGGTGGCATTCTGCACAGCGGCAGTGTCTGGAAGGTGCTTCTGCAGCTGCTGGGTCTCTGGATGATTTCTAAGGCCAAGGCTCTCTCGCTGTGGTCATCAGGGAAGAGAAGCTGTTTGCTGGTCCTCTTTGGGAAGGCTTGGCGTTAGATACCTGCTCTCAGCTTCAGTGTGTCTGTAGGGCGGGTTTTGTTTATGTGCATTCTTATCAGACAATACCTGGAGGTTAAAGGAGATGAAGAAAAAAAAGATATCTTCCCATTTGTTGTTTTCCGTTAGCATCCACAACAATATTTCAATTTTTGCTGTCTAATCAGGCTTTTAATTATCTTCCTTTATTGTTTCTTGTGGGAAACAGGAAAACAAGAGAAGAAAAGGTAAGAAAATCAAAACGAAATTGGTTGACCTTTCCAAGAAGGAGAGGCGGGGATTTGGATTTGAGTACAGTGCCTGAAATCTCCTTCTCTCTGTCTTTAATTGATTAGATTTCAAGTTGATTACATCCCATTCAGCACAGTGACCTCGCTGCATTTGGATGCTGGCAATTAGTTTCTTTTCCTTTAGGAGTTTGAGAGAGATACGAGGTTCTCTGCTGCTTCTGAGCAGTGATACCATTGCTAACTGGTTGCTGTGCTCCACTTTACAAGTGGCTGAGCATCCCACTCGGGCTTGCCAAATTCCGTGTCTGGTTAAAGTTTGCCCGTAGCGTTTTGAGGGAACGGCAGCGCGTCCGTAACGGCTCTTTATTTGTCTCTGTGTTAGTAGCAGCCTCGTGTTTGGTGGTTTTGGTAGCATAAGATGCTCTCCCCTGATGGCTGCTGCACAGCTAGCTGTGTCCTTTATATGTGTTAAGAAAAAAGAGATTATTTTCTATAGGCATTAATTCTAATGGTTGTTTTCTAGTTGATTTTCTTCGAAGGTTGTTTTTTTCTGTTGTAACCTCCTGGTCCCAGGGTTGTATGAGACATACGGCTGCTTGTGGAGTTCAGAAAGGTGTTGCTGGGAGGTGGAGGGCAGAGCGAGGGAGATGTACAACCAGTGTGGGTGATGCTTGTTTTATAAGGGAACCGGTGATCTTTTAATTCGTCTTGTCAGGGCGTCTGCTGTCTTCTTTACAAAGTAGTTACATAACTGAGTAGGAATTGGGATGTGAGTCATTTTCCAGCAATTAATAACTGGGATGAATCCGTGACCTGGGCTCCATATGCTGTTCTTCATATCCACTGAGAAATACCGTCGTCTGCAGCTCCTAATATAGCGTGAGCCACCCTTTTATTGGGAGAATCAGAAAGTGCTGAGCTGCTGTTCTTGAAAATGAATGATTTTGGTCCTGATAGCTCCAAGTTTAACCTCCCATTTTCATGCCCCTGAAGCGTTTCCTTTTTTCCTGTTGGGTCCCGGTGGTTTTCTCTGGGTCCGTCCTGAGCCTCGGGGGAGCTCAGTCTCAGGGAGGCTGAAGGGTACCTGATGCGCTCGTTGGAGAAACACGAGTGGTGAGGATTGTATCAAGGCATCAGTGCTGGCTGGGTGCTGTGTAATCCGCTCTCGTTCCTGGGGAGTGTGTGGTGATACGCGAGTGATGGAGGGGTGGGCTGCGGTTGAAGGTGTTGGGAGGAATTGATCAGAAACAAGCGGAGGGTGAAATTGTTAGCTTAACTCCGCCATCGGTGCTGAATGAAGTGTAAAAAAGGATATCAATACCGTACTTAGCAGAAAGGAAATGTGATTTTTTGACATGAGCGTTTGAAGCCTGTTGCTGATAGGGGCAAATACATCACCTGCATTTAATTGTGAGCTGAGAAATCTGCTAGAAATATGTTCACCTTTCGGAGGCCTTGCTGTATCTCATCTTCCTTTTCCTATGTGGAATTTCTATTTGTTAACTCATTGTGATTGAAAAAATCAGTTGCCTGACTGTAAATGAATGATTGACGCGCTTGTGTCAGTTGTTCTCCATCCCGCGTGGCCACTCCTTCCCGCTTCGCAGCGCCGAGAGGAGAGGTCTCACGCCAGGGTGGGTGGTGCTGCTCCACGGCGGAAGGTGCCCAGACCTGGCGTTCGTTTCTTGGGTTGCGTATGGGGATCCTTCTCTGCGTGCTGTGCCTAGTGACTGCTGGAGATGAGGGCAGGGAGTGGTATTTTTGGCTACCGTGTACCTTTATGGAATTTCTTATTTTTTATGTGCAGCTTTTGCATTATAAATTCAGATCTTGGCTATCCCAGAAGCCTTCGTATCTGACTGCTGGACCTGTGATACCAGAGATAATAAGGAGGAGAAATGTAATTAACTGAGAGGGGAAGTGATTTGCATTCACATTATCTAAAATGCCTTTTTTTTGTTTGTGTCAAGGACCCTTTTCATTCACATCGCCAGGAGAAAAGCTCTTGGGTGGGAAGGGAGTTGCTTAAGGTCTCACAAGATTCGCATCCCGCGATCATGCATCACCCAAGGAACCTTCCGGCGTTGGAAGGGAAAATGAGGACTGGCAGTGCTGGTTTGGAGGGAGGGGAAGAAGGGAGAGCAGATAAACCCTTACTGGGTGGTGTTCGTATGGAATGGAGAAGCTGTGGAGAACCCCAAGCAGCCTGCTTGCCCTGTGTGCATCACCTTGTGACTGACAACATCTCTTCAAGGGATGCATTCCTTTCAGTTTTTGGAGGTGTGCTGTTTTTGTCTTTTCTGGTTTTTAGAGGAAAAGGCGAGCCAGTGACTGAGCTGAGCTGGTCCTCCTGCCGGCAGCTTCTCTACCAGTCCATGGCCACCATCCTGGCTCACACAGGCTTCGAGTGTGCCAACGAGAGTGTCCTGGAGACCCTGACGGATGTCGCCCACGAGTACTGCTTGAAGTTCACCAAACTGCTGCGCTTTGCTGTGGATCGAGAAGCTCGCCTGGGGCACACCCCGTTCCCTGACGTCATGGAGCAGGTCTTCCACGAGGTGGGCATTGGCAGCGTGCTCTCTCTGCAGAAGTTCTGGCAGCACCGCATTAAGGATTATCACAGCTACATGCTTCAGGTGAGAAGAGCAGTTGGGACCTGTTTTGTTTTTTTTTTTTTTGTCCAAAAAACCAGTTCATTTTTGTTCAGATGTTTTTGTTCAGATGGCTCCTTTCAGAATTTGAGTTTTGTGCATCGTTCTGCTGGTGCAGTTCACTCCCATCCTGCAGCTGGCCATGGTCTTGTTTGTTCTGTTCTTCGCAAAGGGCTGAGGTCCACAGTAGCTTCTGTATTTGGAAGTGTATCTAGAAGGGGGAAATAAGCTTTGCTATTCTTTTTCCTTCTTGCTTCTGCTATTAAAAAGCCGTGGGCTTTTCTTGAGCACGCTTGACTGATGGGATTCAGTGGTGTAAGCAAGCATTTGTCAGAAGCAGGTGAAATCTGAAATGTATAATTCAATTCCTTACAGTCTTTAAGTTTCTAGAAGTAGTTCTAGATCTCATTCCTGTATTTGTTTCACTTCTCTGGCTGGAGAGGACGTCTGTGTGTTTTGCTGTGAGCCTCTCAGAAGGTACCTAGGCTTTACCCAGCGGTGGCTACAGAACTGGTGAACATCTGAGCTGCTTGATTTTTAACACTGGAGTAAACTTTTTACTGGCAGATGGGTGATGGTCTTATAGGTAAAACCAAAAAGGCTGAGACAGTTTGCTTTTGTTTCGTGTTCTGTTTAAATTTCTGGGCCTCACCATCACTGTCTGTGAAATAAAGATGCTCACGTTGATCAAGCAGATGTGTTAGTAAACCTCTTATTAAAGTCCCTTGTTACAGACAGAAGATGTTCTTAAAGGGGAAAAAAAAATCTTTCCTGTGTAGCTGATAACCTGTTTACTTGTTCATTCAGGTCACATGTTAATAAATAATAAATATTATTTATTATAAATAAA